CACAAAGTGTTTTATTTATTTATTTTAGAGATACACTCTCACCCAGGCCAGAGTTCAGTGGCATGATCATAGTTCACTGTAGCCTTGAACTCCTGGACTCAAGCAATCCTCCCACCTCAGTCTATCAAGTAGCTGAGACTTCATTCATGTACCATGCCCAGCTAAATTTTTTTTTTTTTTAAGAGCCAGAGTCTTGCTATGTTGCCCCAGGCTGATCTCTAACTTCTGGCCTCAAATGATCCTCTTGACTTAGCCTGCTAAAATGTCGGGATTATAGGTGTGAGACACTGTGTCTGGCCTCAAAGTGTTTTAGATAGGTGGCTAAGATGATGCCACTCCTAAAACTGTCAGACAAGACCATCATGAGCTCCTAAGTGTGGTGGGAAACTAGGGTTTGGGATGAGCTCCATGGGGGGTTGGCAGAGGCCCCGGCCTGTAGTTCCTGCCTCATCCTCCTCCCTGCCCCCATTCTGGCCACAAAAGACCCTCATGCTTTTCTAACAGGCCATGTTCTCTGACGTCATCAGACTTTGTACACGCAGTTCTCATTGCCTGGAATGCCCTTCTCAGCGTCTTAGAGCGGCCTCTCTGGCTTATCCTTCAAGTATCAGCTCAGTGTCACCTCCTTCCCTACCTACTTCACAGAATTATCTGTGGCTCCTTCCCCAGGTTCTCAGGGCATGTCTATTAGTACTTATCACATGTCTCTACTGTTATTTGTTCAAGCAGCTGCCTCCCTCCCCCACTAGATGGTGGCTCCTGCCAGGCAGGGTCCAAATCTCAATGACTCCTGTGCTTCCTGCCCATAGCTGGAGCAGCAACACTCAGGCAAATGAAGGCCCTGCCATCCCCACCGGCCATGGAATATAACAGCCTTTCCCTCACCCCAGTGGAAGACTGCCTTTCAGAAGTCTAGGAATGTGGTGGATCACCCAGCACTCTGTTCTTTCTTAGAAGCCTAAATGAATGTGGCTCACGAGGCTCTACAGTCTGAAGTGGTCAAATCTTACATGCGCCTGCATAAAAGATGGAGGGAGCATACATAGCCAAGAAGAAACACCAGAGAGTAGCATGGATTTATGAAAGTGTCAGGAAGACTAATGCTACATGAGCAGAGGCTTCCCCAAAACGGTCAGGACAAGTAAAAGGGATTCAAAAAGTTATTTTTGGTGTGTGAATAAGAACAACGAAGGGCTAGGATGGCTCTTGTGCCTCTGAATTCCCTGGGAAGGAAAATGCTTCTTGGACCAAAAAGAGGAAAAAGGAAACTAGACACAGATAAGAGGTAAGTGAAGCCAGCATGGATGGGGAGATCTTAAGAAACTCTAAATTCCCATTTCCCAACCAAAGGATCCCAGTGACACCTTTCTCAACACTTGTCAGTGATGCCAGAGGAAACCTGCCAGCAGGAGATGGGGCCAACAGGCAAGAGAAAGAGAAGCGTCCTTCCTGGCTCACAGTCTGCTGCATTTAAGAACAGCTCAGGTAAGAACCACAAGGAGTCAGGTTCCACAGGCGGCCATTAACCTACCAACATCCAAACAATCTTAGTGCTTTGAGTCATGGGGTCACTGGACCAGCAGATGAGGAGATACTGTGGCTGAGGTCACAAAGCCAAGAGCTTCGGGCCAAATCTGCCCCAAGATTGTTTTAGTTGCCTATATGGTGTTAATGTTTTGTTTTGTGTTTTTTTGTTTGTTTGTTTGTTTGTTTGTTTTTTGAGATGGAATCTCGCTCTGTTGCCCAGGCTGGAGTGCAATGGTGCAATCTCAGCTCACTGCAACCTCCGCCTCCTGGGTTCAAGTGAGTCTCCTGTCTCAGTCTGAGAAAGGGACTACAGGCACGCACCACGATGCCCCGCTAGTTTTTTGTATTTTAGTAGAGACGAGATTTCACCATGTTGGCCAGGATGGTCTTGATCTCCTGACCTTGGGATCCATCCGCTTCGGCCTCCCAAAGTGCTGGAATTATAGGCGTGAGCCACTGCACTCAGCCAGTGTTAATGTTTTTGTTTTCCCAACATTCGAAAATCAAATTCCACATGAAACCCGATTTTCTTGAAGGTCCATGCTTCTACGGGCAAATCCGTCTCTAACTGAGCAGGCTGCTGCTTACACAGAATACAACTACTCCAATTCACCCCCAGCTTTCCCACTCCACACTGCCTTCTTGAAACCAAGGCTGGGGTCAGGAATTACTTATTAATTGCTTGAACTAATTATCACTTCATTCACTTGTGTTACCTGCCAACCTCCTGTAGGCCTTTGACTTTGCAACTTTGGCTGTCTGTGTTCAAGTTTCACAAGGTCTGCCATTACCCTTTTGAGGCCAGCTACAGAGAACAGCCTGGAAGGGCTGGTTCACCACTGTGAAATGACCATGCTCAAAGGGTACAAGAGGTGTATCAACTTAGTGGTCTGCCACGGGGCTCTGTTCTTGGAACTATCTTGTTCAGTATAGTTATCAATAATGATAGAGAAGGCACACTTAATAAATAAGTAGATGTTGAAAATAGACGGGATAAAGCTATGTTGAGTGACAGAACCAGGTGCCAAAAGATCAACAGACTAGAGAGAAAAAAATCTAAAAGGGTAAACAGGGTCTCATATTTGGACCCCAAACCACATCTGTGCAAATAAATTAAAGATGGGAGAAGCACATAATAGCAGCAGAGGTACCCATAAAAATGTCTTAGGAATCAGGAGAGGTAAAACCCTGAGAGCTAAATGACAGCACACCAAGTATGAGGTGATGTGGCAGCTTCAAAGGGTCTTAAAACCCAGTTTTTTTTTCCAAAAATTTTCACTGCAATCCACAGTGAGAAATACATTTTACACTGTGATCCATTAGCTACTTATATACAGCAAGTTTCGTAAAACAGTACTTTCCCTTAATAGATACATTAATGCATCTTTCTTTATTTCTGAATGCAGGTTGCAACCTTCCAAATTGACTTCGGGGTCTACTAACAGGTCTTGACCCATAGTCTGACACACACAGCTGCAACCTGACCTGAACAGGACTACAGCACAGGCAGTGACAGCCCTTCTGTGCCCGAGAGTCCCCGCCTGAATGCAGACTTCCCTGTGGGGCTGTACCCTCTGGGCACAGAGGAAGGCGAGCATGATGGTTCAAAATCACAAGAGGAACAGCTCCCTTTTGGTTCTGAAGTTGGAGGTTCCAGAAAGTCCTCCAACATCTGAAGGCCTACAGTTTGGAAAAAGAATTAGACTTGTTTTGGGTGGGCTTAAGGCATGGAATTAGAAAATGGGTAATGACAGAGAAAAGTTTAGGTTCCATTTAGGGAAAAGTTTGCTTCATGCTCAGAGACACTAGAAAATGCACTGAAACCCATCCCCCTAGCAACCAGAGGAAACAAGTTCGTATCAATGGAGATGCTGAAAAGAAAAGCGAGCAGTTATTTGGCAATTGTTGGCAGGGAGGCAGGACAATGCCAGAGGAGGATGTGGACCAGTTTAGGCCCTTTCAAAGCCTCAGCTTAGACCAGTCCCAGTTCAGAAACCCCCCACTTTACCCCTCAATTCTTATTCCTCTCTGGGCTCTAGCAAACATCACTGGGAGATGTTCCTTTTTTTCAGACAGTGTCTTGCTCTGTTGCCTAGGCTGGAGTGCAGTTGCGCAATCATGGCTTAATGCAGCCTCAACTGATTCTCCCCCCTCAGCCTCCCAAGTAGCTGGGACCACAGGTGTGTACCACCATGCCCAGCTGATTTTATTTTTAGTATAGACAAGGTCTTGCTATGTTGTCCAGGCTGATGTTAAACTGCTGAGCTCAAGCAATTTTCCTGCCTCAGCCTCCCAAAGTGCTGGGACTACAGGCTAAATGTCTGCTTTCTCTCATAACTTCTCAACTACCCTCCAGCTAGCGTCAACCCCTAGACTGTGCTACAAGCCCACTGAGAATCAGCTTGTCTAAAACAGAACTGAACTCTCTCTCCTGATAGCTCCTTTCCCAACTTTCCCATTTTTGCATTCATGAACATTCCCAATCCAAATGTTACTCATATTCTTCCAATGTGTGCAGTCAATAGATCCAAACAATTCTAAATGTGAACTGTCTCTCAATTTTATCTCCTCCCTTTCCATCCCTGCCTTCCTAATCTGGGTCTTTCTGTGTATACCTTTTAATTGTCTCACCTGCTGACAGTGGTCCTTTAAACAACTCTATGTATCTCCAAGCCCCCTCCCTGCCCGCGCACACACACACACACTGTTCTCCACTGTACAATCTCTTGAACATACCCTCTCGAGACTCCCAGCCACCAATTCAGAACTCTTCTTCATAGTCCACCCTGGCTTCAATCTTCAGTTTAAGAATGCCATTCGTATGCCTCAAGTGCTTAATATGTGTGACAGACTGTGTGTCCCAAAGATAGCCACAACATTCTCTCCATCCCACATGCTCTTCTTACTGTGCGACTTGGACGCTTCCCCCATGGAGAGGTGGGGTCTATGTCCCCTCCTCTTCAATCTGGGTGGGCTTGTGACAATGGTGGAAGTGACACTACATGACCTTCAAAGCTAGATCATAAAGGCAATTCAGCTTCTGCCTGGTTCTCCTGGGACACTCACTCTTGGAGCCCAGCCACCATGCTGTGAGGAAGCCCAGGCCATGTGGTGAGGCCACATGGAGGAGTCAGCTGACATTCCCAGCTGAGGTACCAGCCAACAGCTGCCATCATCTGCCAAATGTGTGGGTGAAGGAACCCTTTGAGGATTCCAGCCCAGTCATCAAGTTACTTCCAGCTTTTATGCCTTCCCAGCTGAGGCCCTAAACATCAAGGAACATATACAAGCTACCCGTGCTGTTGTCATTTCTGACTTCCCAATCCACAGAATCCCTGAACCTAACAAAATAATTACTGTTTTATACCGCTGGTTTTGGGGTGATTTGTTACCTGACAACAGACCAGACTATATATTTCAGGAACCTCAAGAAGTTTTAAGATGAATATGAAGAAAAAGGCCTATAAATCAATGCCCTACGTCATTCCAGTGCTGTGAAAGGGGCCTGCGGGGGCTCAGTCTATACTGCTATCTGGGCAGGTTGCTGTCCAGGAAGGTTTCATCTCAAAGAAATCTCAGAGAGGCTGGAAAGAGTGGCAGGTATTTTGGAAGAAGGGGAAGCATTCTGCAGGAATTCCAGATGGAAGGAACACCATGTGCAAAGCCACAGACTCATAAGGCCAGGCAGGCTTGGAGACCGGTAAGCTGTTCAGTGTATCTTGATCACAAAGGCAGGGGAGGCAGATTGTGTGGCCCACAGCCTGAATGCTACAGGGAGTAGATTTACATTTCAGGAGGGCCATTCAGGTATCCTGCAGAAGACAGACTGCAGGGTTCAAAGCTAGTGATCCAAAGACCAGTTAGACTATGCAACTGTCCAGATTAGTAACAATAAAGACCTGAATTAAGGTAATAGCAGACAGATGGGGATGAAACATGGTCATGGAGGTAAGTGATTAACTGTAGCAGTGAGACGTGGAACAGAATCAACCTCTCCTGAGAAAGTCCTCCTTGACTAGTCCTGCCCACCACAGATTGCCCCAGAATTTACAGTCACTGTGCACAGCCATGTTCTGTAAGGGATCTTTTCATAAAGACTGTGTGGTCAACTACACCATATGCTCCTAGGGGACCAGGTGTCTGCCACACCTTCAAAACATAGTGGAGTTCCAAAAGCTCTGTCACTTCCTCCACCCCAAGGACCTGGCTGGTGCAAGCCTCTTCACTCCCATACTTCGAGAAGATGACCTGTGGAAGCTCTAGGCAAAGTTGGTGATCTCTCTGTCTCTCTGTTATTATGGCACCTGTTACAATGCACATGTATACATGGTAGAGGTCTGCAAAGGCTGTAGGGAGCCTCCAGAGAGGCCCACCAAGGTGCTGGTGCTGCCCATCTTACCGCCAACTTCCAGGTGCAAACCCCTTTTCCCTGCCCTCGTTGGGGCCCTTACACCCAACCCCATCAGGTTTCTTCCCTGCTTCACAGTACCACTGAGAAGGGGTTATGCTCATCCCAGGCTAGGTCTTCAAATCCTGCTGACCCTAGGTGATGGGAGCACACCCAAGTTAGACATGTGTTCCTATCACCTAGGGGCAGCAGGGATTTGTTACTAGGAGACTGAGAGGCAGGAAAACGTTTCTCAGGCAGGGAAAATGTCCTTCTCAGATCCAAGAAGAGATCTATCTCTTCACTATGCTCCATGAAGAGTTCATGTGCATTGAGCATCACCAACCCCAGTCACATTTCCCACTTTCAGAGGACTGAGGACCCTGTGCTGAAGGTGACCCTGTATCCCACCTGGCTAGCTCACGAGGTCCTCTGCCTCCTCCTCTACACTGCACTCCCTTCTTAGGCTCCCAAATCCCCAGAGCTGGTCCTGTGTTCAACAGCAGCAGCCTGCCCTCCCCACTCAGGGGGCTCCAGAGCCCCCCCCACGCCCCGATGACAGGCAAGGCTGGAAAAGTGCAGAATGCCTCTCCCCAAACACTTCATTCAGCCAACAACATAGTGAAGGGTGCAGAAATGACACCAGGCTTCCCAAATCTTTCCTAACTCTCAACACATCCAAACCAGATCAGCAATTCTCTATTAAAGGAAAACAGAAGGGAGGAGGGAAGATGAAGAATGTTATATTTAAAGAGCAAATTTCTCATTAGCCATACCTTCCTAAGGCCTCTAAGAAAGTGGAAGTTACAAGAGGAACAGAATCTGAAGGGCTATTCTGCTGACCATCAGCAGTTACACACCATATTAGAAGAACCATGTCCAAGAAGGTGTTCTTAGCCAGAATGAACTAGCCTGTAGCCAGTGGCCCATCCTCTGCAGGGGAATCTCTTGAAGCGAATTCTCATGGGACTCCAAGATAGTGGTGGCTGCTCCCTACCCTGCTGGCCAGTAAACTCCACCCAGTACTTTCCCAACCACACATACCACCAACTCAGCTACTCTGATCCACAGCAGCTGTTCAAGGGGCTGCTCTTTCCAGCCTCATCCTTTATCTCAGCCCCAGAGTTCACAATCCACCTCCACACAAAGCCAATTCCTTCTTCCTTGCCACCAAATGGATGGCCCCACTCTAATAGCAAATGGATTGTATTTATGGTATGTTCTGTCTAGGGTTGATCAATTATTCATTTCTTAAGGGGATTCTCCCTTCCAAAGATTTACTAATAAAACCAATCAGTGAGTGCAGAAAGAGACTTTTAGGGGAACCCTTGCAGAGGATGTGCACATCTGTCCTTGCAGAAGTGAAGGAGTCTGTGCACATGGGCACACTGGCTAGCCAGTCCCATGTCTACACCCTCTATATCCAAACTGGCCCTCTCTGCAGACAGCAAATCCAGGAGGGTTACATCTAACTTCTTGAGAGCATTATATGTTGGCAGAGGGTATTCTTGTATGAGGTGGGGGAGGCAGTTGTTCTTGTGGTTACTACATGCTTATCAGAAAACATGTTTTTCCTACTACAAAATGGGCAGATACAGCAAATCTTCCAGTGGCTGGGGTGATACTTAGGAAAAAGCTAAAATGGGCCTAATTGCCTGAGGTCATCATATCTGGCAGAAGCACAGGACTTTGTTCATGTCCTCTGACCTAACAGTAATTAACGTGGGTTTCAGAAAGAAAGGAAAAGAAGAGAAGGAACCAGGAAAAGTGACTCTGATGGAACCCTCTCACGACGGGCAGAGTATCACACCACAAACATCGACTTATCTCATTTAATCATCACCACACACTCTTCCAAAGTGGAGATCAGAGATGAGGACACTAAACACAGAGAGGGGAAGTAGTGTTCTCGAGATCACAATGCACGAAGTATCCGTAATTTCACTGGAAATGAAAAAGTGAACAAGCCAATAGAAAACATAAAAAAGCTACATGTGCCAACGATTTTCCCTCAAGCATAAACAGTAGAGAATTACAAACCTGAGTGCCCAACAATAGGGAAGTGGTTTTAAATTTTATATTCCTTCTTCACGAAAAGAAAAATGGAGACTAAACATATAAAAAAAAAATCATCATCAGTAATCAGAAAAATGCCAAATAAGATCACAACAAGATTCCATTTTATACTTATCATGCAGGATTGAAGAGGAAGAACATTTAGTTTGACTCTTGGCCCCACCACTTACTAGCTGTGTGACCATAAGCAAGTTAGCTAATATCTCTGGGCCCCCATTTTATCACCTGTAAATTGCAGGTGAGTAACAGCACCTATCTCACAAGGTTATTTAGAAAATTAAACAATATATGAAGAGCATTTATAATAGTACCAGGTACATAGTAAGCACTGCAAGAGTTTTAGTTTAATACCAAGTGCCAATGGGGTTTAGCAAGAACTTTTTTTTTTTTTGAGACAGAGTCTCACTCTGCTGCCCAGGCTGGAGTGCAGTGGTGAGATTTTGGCTCACTGCAACCTCTGCCTCCAGGGCTCAAGTAATTCTCATGTCTCAGTCTCCCCAGTAGCTGAGACTACAGGCACACGCCACCACACCCGCTAATTTTTGTATTTTTTTTTTTTTTTTTTTTTTTTTTTAGTAGAGTTGGGGTTTCACTATGTTGGCCAGGCTGGTCTTGAACTCCTGGCCTCAAGGGATCCACCCACCTTAGCCTCCCAAAGTGCTGGGATTACAGGGGTGAGCCACTACACGTGGCCCAATAACCACTTTTTTTTTTTTTTTTTTGAGACAGTCTTGCTGTCACCCAGGCTAGAGTGCAGTGGTGGGATCTTGGCTCACTGCAACCTCTGCCTCCAGGGCTCAAGTGATTCTTGTGCTGCAGCCTCCCAAATAGCTGGGACTACAGGCATGTGCCACCACACCTGACTAATTCCTGTATTTTTTTTTTTTTTTGAGACTGAATTTTGCTCGTTACCCGGGCTGGAGTGCAATGGCGCGATCTCTGCTCACTGCAACCTTCACATCCCAGGCTCAAGCAATTCGCCTGCCTCAGCCTACCGAGTAGATGGGATTATAGGTGCCCAGCACCATGACCAGCTCATTTTTGTATTTTTAGTAGAGACAGGGTTTCACAGGCTGGTTTCAAACTCCTGTCCTCGAATGAGCTGCCTGCCTTGGCCTCCCCAAAGTGCTGGAATTACAGGCTTGAGCCATAGTGCTCGGCCCCAGTAACTACTGCTTATACCTCACTGGCAGGCAGGCAAAACAGAGCAACTACTTTGGAAAGGTTTGTGGTACTGTCTTTTAATGTCAAACATGCACATCTCCTATGGCCCTGCAATCTGACTCCTAGGAAAGCTTTGTACACATCCATCAGGAGACGTGTACATAAACGTTCATAGTAGCCTTACACATAAAAACCACATAATGGAAATATTCTAAGGGCTCATAAACTACAGAATAGACAATGGAATACTATAGAGCAGTGTGAATGAATGAGCCCCAGGAGTATAAATGAATCCCAGAAACCACAACTGAGTTTAAAAAAAAAAAAAAAAATGAAGGCTCGAGAACTACGTATGTCCTACTGAGTCTACAAAGCTCAAACAAGGAAGCAAAATTAAATGTATTGTATAGGAATGTAAACTTACATAGTGAAAACTTTAAAAAGCAAGGGAAAGATAAAAACAAAATTCAAGGTAATGGTTACCTCTGGAGGTGAGGAAGGGAGAAAGGGTTGGGGAGAAAACACCCAGGTAATTTCAATGGTGCTGGCAATGTTCCAGCTAACTTGGGGAGGTGGCCTGTGTTTATGATTACGCTTTATCTGTTTAACATATATAAAACACTAGAGTCAAGTATGATTCAAGTAACACATAAAATAAGAAAAATTTTAATACAGGCATACCTCATTTATTGTGCTTCATTCTATTGTGTTTCGCAGATATTGGGGGTGGTTTTTCTTTATGACAAACTGAAGGTTTGTGGCAACCTTACATTGGGTGAGTCTTACTGGTATCATTTTCAATAGCATGTGCTTATTTTGTTAGCATTTCTTAGTAAAAAAGTATTTTAAAATGAAAGTATGTACACTTTTTTAAAAGCCATTATGCTATCACACACTTGATAGACTACAATATAGTGTAAACACAACTTTTATATGCACTGGGAAACCAAAAAATTCACATGACCAGCTGTATTGCCATATTCACTTTATTGCAATGGTTTGGAGCTGAACCTGCAATATCTCCAACATATGTCTGTCTATAATATTTTATCAGTAGATGCACACAACTGCTTAAAATGACATGGAATAAGAATATAAAACAAAACAAATGTATTAAATGAAAAAGTGAAACTCAAGAATGTACTTATTAAATGAATAAGAGGTTTTTATGGGGGGGGAAGTACGTACTTTTTGAAATGAGGGAAAAAACAGAATTCAAAATATTGCCCAATTTAACAATTCAGTTCAATCACAATGCATACCTGTGTACACAAAACAGCAAGGGGAAATATACAGAAATGTTAACAGTGCTTATCCTCTGCATGATAGAGAGTGAGTAACTTTCTTGTTAATAGTTTCCAAAATTTATCATAGATATATTCATTTTTATTTAGGGGAAAAAAGATTTAAGAATAGAGCACCTATAATACACCCGACACTCTGGGTATTTATTGTGCTATTTCTGTTGCTAGAGTTGACTGCAGTTATAACATACAGAGGCAGATCACACATAATGCAGAAAGAAAATGGAGAAAATTTCTAAGAGATGAGGCACACTGGAAGGTGAAGATGACCCTGGTTGAGATGGGGTGCCAAGCCTGAAACTTCCCACACATTAAAAGTTCTATGTAACTTGCTGTTCTCTGACCAGAACTCCAAACTACAGCCCTGCAACTCTGACCCATGCAGAGCTATCCCTTGGGCAGCACACACTCCCCTGCAGCAGGCAGGGGTGAAGGGGGAGCACAGCTGCAGGCTGCTCTGCAGGCTCCCTGTGCCCCACCCCCAGCCTCTTGATCTGCGGCCCAGAGCAGGATCCAGCTCTCCTGACGGAAGCCCCTACCTCAAGCAGCCGGTGGCGGCCCGGCCAGAGGCCAGCGGGGAGGAAATCAAGCCTAACCACATCTGAGGCCTGGCAAAAAGCAGCAGCAGCTGCTCTGAAGCTGCCAGCACACAAGAACCAGGTCATGACGCGGAGGCAGCTCCTCAGCCAGACCCAGCAAGAGCCCCAACTCCCCTAACACACAAACACACACACACACACACACACACACACACACACAACACACTCTCTTGCAGCTGCTGAAGCCATTGCCAAAGCCCCGCGGTGCACGTCCCATGGCCAGAAAAGCCCCTATCAGTTCCTAGAGAGGCAGGACATTTACAGCTCAGACCCACTTCTCATCATCCAGCTCCTATTGTAAAAGTCTAGAAGGCTAAGAAAACAGAAAGCATGCATTGCTAACACCACAGTCCCCCGCAGAGCCGTCCTTTGCTAAGGGCTCCACACACTTTCCTTAAAGAGGTCCCCAATCCCTCAAAATCCACTGACAGCTCACGTATGTCAAAGGCACCAGGCTTAGAGGAGGAGGAGGATAGCAGCCCACAGTTTTGAGTGCTGAATGCAAACTTTAAATAAGCACTTTATGTTTATATGTAACCTTTCTATTCTTTCAACAACTTTACATCCATTTTAGTAGATGAGATACAGAGAGGATAACTAACATACTCCAAAGCTCAAAACTCCAAATTAGTGAGTGGCAAAGTCGAATCCAACATCAAAGTCAATAGTGGATGCTCATAGCCTCCCAGGTACCAAGGTTCTAATCATTCTTTCAGAGAATGAGCTCCCAAATGTGTCTCCATAATTATTCATGGATTTCAGCTTTTCACAGGAACCCATGTGTTTGCCCCCACTCAATCCTTTCTCAAGGACTTAATGCATAATTTTTTCATTCAAAGAAATAAATCTTTAAGTGACCACCCAAAAATCTAGAGGAAAACTAACTTTTGGCAGAAAGGCATCCACCTATCAGTTGTAAGATCAACTTCACAGAGTAGGCTAGGAAATGCCATTAGGGAAGCCTGCTGCTGTCCAGAAGGAAGGAAATTAGAGAGCACAAATTAATTCTCTTTATCCTAAACTTCAACTCCTGGAAAAGTCACACAATTCATCTCAGTGTAAAGCTTCATTATCCACAATCACTACTGGTTTATTAGCCCAGATAACTGAAAGATGCCAGTAATCTGGGTTTGTACATGTTCATCTGTAAGACCTGTGTGCAATGCTGGAGAAATAGAATAGGAATCTCGGCATCTGCAAGTCATTATCTATTTCTGAGGGTCATGAGGAAGGCCATGGGGGTCCCTCGTCTCTGGCCTGTCTGTGGTAGCAGATCACCTACCCACTTGCCCACCCCGGGTTTCTGAAACCCTGCCAGTCCCTGGACCTCCTCCATTCTCCTTTTCCTCCTTCGTCCCCTCAACAGAGCTGTTCTCCACTCTCCTGCCCTCACTGCTCTCCATCGCCCCATGCTCCCCTCGGAAGCCTCCCCCTCCCATCAAGGCCCCACCACTCAGCCTGCACCAACAGCCCCAAAGTTTCCTTTTTCCTTGACTGCTCTCCAGCTACCAGACACACTTCCACTAGGTGCAACTTAAGCTCAATACATTTAAAACCTAACTGAGCTCCTGCCTCCTCTTCCTCAGCAACTCCTCTGCTGGACATCCCTTTTATTTAAAAAAAAAAAAAAAAAAAATCATGTTAAAGGCCATTCCCCTGAGCATCCTGGCTCAAGCCCTCCATCCCCTCTGATGTCCTCTTGATGTTTTCATATGCAAGCAAACCCCAGTCCTGCCAACTGTTCCTTTAGAGCCTTTCAGATCTGCCTTCTTTTTGTTTTCTCCTCATTTATCTCTCACAAGGACAAACACAGTAGGTGGCTCGCTGACCAGCCACCGCCTCTGCTTCCACCCCAGCACGCTACTGTTGGGACTCACGTTCAACCCACTGAGTCTTGAACCCCCATCATCCAGCTCCCAGGCCAGGGTGCCCTCTAATTCACAACTTCAATTTTCTGTCTTGGTTCAAACAGTAAAAATAAATAAATCTGTAGATAAGCAAATAAACAAACATGTGAACAAATGTTATCAAGAACAATAAAGACTACTTCCATCAATCAGTGCTGTTCCTAGAAACGTAAGCTGGTAAATCTGCATTAAAAAATCTTTCCCACACATTAGTGAAAGCAGAAAACTCAGTATGAGGGGCATGGTTTGGTAAACTATGATGCACCTCAACAGAGTATTATATACTCATCTAAACCTGTAATTATAAACACTAAGGAAAAAAGCTAGATGAAATAGGAAAAATAGCAGAGTATCATACTGTATGAAAGTTAGACTGCAACTATGTAAAACCAAGCACACAAATGAGAAAAGTAGGTAGTTTTTTTTAAAAAGTGAAAATAGGTATTTGTAGCCCACAGAATTATGAGATGTCACCTACTGATGCTATCAGCACATTATAACAATCATTCCTTTCTATGTGCATACATAATTATGTATTTATTCCTGTATCTCTCAAATATATATTCAGCATCTCTTCTTTGTGGATACAGTAGTGAACAACAGAGTCCTTTCTCATGGATAGAAACTTTTTAGATGCTTGAATTTGTCTTAGATCCTATTCAAAGGTAAGTTCCTTTAGGAACTGGATACTGTACCACTATTGCTAACAGGCACAGGGCAACATAAACCTATGTAACATACATACTCTGTGGTTTTGAGTATGTGATGAAAGCAATGAAAACTGCTATTAACTGTGACTTTATTTCCAAGTGAAGCTGCCTCTTATGTAATTACTGATAGGATATCAAAGATATACTATAACTCATTATAGAGCAAGAAAAAACCCCAGTGGATCCAAGAGAATAGAGGTCATAGACATAAAATAAGGAACAGAAAGGACAGCTTCAGTAGAAGTTGCTGAGAGAGATGAACAGGAGGTTCTTTTTACTGTTAAGTGGAAAATAAAAAAGATGTAAAAAACTCCCACTGCCCAAAGATGACTATAGTTTGTATTTGGTATCTTTTTAAACTATGCAATGTGCACTTAATTTACAAAATTGGGATGACTGAGTATATCAGTTCTTTTCTTATATGCTAATTTCTTTCCTGACTATATTATAAACATTTTCCTACAGTTAACTATTCTTCAGTAATTTCATTTTTAATAGTTGTACTGTTTTCTCTGGCATGTATATAGCATACATAGGGCCCCAGAGGCTGAATCTCTAGGTTTGCTCCTGTTTTGCTATATTCCCAAGGCACATGTTGACCATTGGGGTAGTGTCTTTTCTCCTCCTCCCATGTCTAGTTGGGCTTATTATTCTCTTGAGGACAGAGACAGCAACTTGGCACTAAAGGCTGAATAGATGAATTCTACTCACCCTGAAGGCTGTAGGAAATAAGTTTGATAACAGGTAGGGGTAGTATTTTACTCACATTAGCACAGGTGTTTCATCTTATTTGGGTGGCTAAAAATTTAAAAGGTACGTGTCTAGCAAGCCTTTGGGGCCAACTGCCCTTTTCAAAATGGAAGGAAAAGCAATAACACTAGTATATTTGCTGTTCCAGTGCCCCAAGGTAACAATGATGAAACCCCCAAGACCCATGGTTCTAGAAACACTGGTTGAAGACATGCTCAGCAAGAGATAAGCAGATTGAGCATGGCCAGCTGGGTCTTGGCTAGGACTCCTGTAAGTGTGATCTATGGACCAGCACTGTTCTGCAATCTCTATCAGCCCGTGACAAGGTAAGTACAAAAGCTAAGAGTAAGTGCTGACTTTAGAAACTTGTATCACAATTTAACATTGCCATGGCATCTAAGCACATGATCGTTTTTCTAGTAATTCATTCTTATATTTTATGAAATTATCAGTCCATGATGAATTAGAAAATCTTAAAACTTAGTCTTTCACCAGAAATTCTGAAGAGAACTGACGTACATCATATAAATGTTGATACCAACCAATACACGCGAGTAATCAATAAAAATATAATGATCAATCTAGCTATCTCATCTAGTATAAATATCTACAAAACATTTAGAGGAAAACTAAGATAGTCAATGGAAAAAGAACAGTGTTTTAATTGGAACAACTGGATATCCAATTGCAACAGAATTAACGTGAACCTCACCTCACACCATATACAAAAACTATACAACTCTTAAAAGAAAACAGACATAAATCTTAATTATCTTGGATTAGGTAGTACTTTCTTAGATATGAGACAAAAGAACAAAAGATAAACTGGACTTTATCAAAATTAAAAACTTGAGTTCTAAAGGATACCATCAAGAAAGTGAAAAAGGGCTGGGCGCAGTGGTTCACACCTGTAATCCCAGCACTTTGGGAGGCCGAGGTGGGTGGATCACGAGGTCAAGAGATCGAGACCATCCTGGTCAACATGGTGAAACCCCGTCAGTACTAAAAATACAAAAAAAAAATTAGCTGGGCATGGTGGCACATGCCTGTAATCCCAGCTACTCAGGAGGCTGAGGCAGGAGAATTGCCTGAACCTAGGAGGTGGAGGTTGCGATGAGCCGAGATTGCGCCATTGCACTCCAGCCTGGGTAACAAGAGCGAAACTCCATCTCAAAAAAAGAAGAAAAGAAAGTGAAAGAAACGGCTAGGCATGGTAGCTCACATCTGTAATTCCAGCACTTTGGGAGGCTGAAGGAGGACTGCTTGATCCCAGGAGTCCAAGACCAGCCAAGGCAACAAAGCAAGACCCCAGTTCTACAATTTTTTTTTAAATTAGCCAGGCATGGTGGAAGCATGCATCTGTAGTTCTAGCTACTTGGGAAGCTGAGGTAGGAGGATCCCTTGAGCCCAGGGGTTCCAGTTCGAGTGAGCCATGATGGTTCCACTGCACTCTAGCCCAGGTGACAGAGACCCTGTCTCTTTAAAAAAAAAAAAAAAGTGGAAAAAAAAACCCCACACAATGGGGAAAAAATTTACAAATCATATACATAATCACATACAAGGGACTCACATAAAAGAGATAACAAACTCTTACAACCCCTTAACCAAAAAGCCCCAATCTTAAAATGGGCACATTCACACAAGAACATGTATTATGAATGTTCATAGCAGCATTATTCATAACAGCCCAAAGCGAAAATAACCTACATGTAAAGAACGGATAAACATGATCTGTCCATGCAATGAAATAATATGCAGTCATGAAAATGAATAAAGTATTAACACAGGCTACAACATGGATGAACCTTGAAAATGTTATGCTAAGTCAGTCAGACACTAAAGGTACATACTATATCATTCCATTTATATGATTAGGATGATTAAATGCATGGATTGGGTAAATCCACAGAGACAGAAAGATAAATGGTTGCCAGGGACTAAAGGGGTGAGGGGAACAAAGGGGATGAATGCTATTTGCTGCAGGGTTTCTTCTGAGGATGACAAAAATTTTGTGAACCAACAGACTGGTGTTAATTGCACAATCCTGATTACACTAAAAACCACTGAACTGTACACTTCCAGTGGGAGAACTGTGTATTATATGATTTATATCTCAATAAAGCTGTAATTTCAAAAAAATAGTCACTTCTTATCACCCACCTTCTACCTCAGAAGTCTAAAAGGCTAAGGAAATGACAAAGCACCCATTGATCCTTCATCTCCATCTCCATAAGCAGCTTTGAGGCAAAAGCAGAAGCTGAACACAAGCTCAAGGCAGTGCGTGAGCTGCTGACCTCACCCTTAAACAATGATGGGGTGACAGGGACAAAGGAAAGGAAAAGGCAGGAGTGTTGTGAAAATGTTCTCTGCAACTCTCTCATCAGTGTTTCTCCTTTTATTTCTCTGCTGGGTTACAAGTGAAAGTGAAAACAGGAGTGTCTTATCTCGGGGAAAGTAGTGGTGGTCCTTTTTCCATCAAAGGAAGATGAAGAGAGCACCTCCCATGTCACTGCCTGGGACAGCAGGAGTAGTGGCTGGGGGGCGGCCCTGAGCTCTGGGTTGGGGAAGAGAGATGAGCTCTGGAAATGCATGGGCAGGGGGCCCAGAAAGAACTACTGACACAAAACCAGCTGATCCCCAGGGTAGAGTCACAGGTAACAGAAGACAGGAAATGGAGCTTGGTTCAAAGGCCTTTAGAATAATTAAAAAAAAAAAAAAAAAAAAAAAGCTGGAGGGGATGAGTTTTCGAGAGATTCAATAAAATAAAGGGAGACAAAGAATATATAATATGCAACAAGCATGCCCTTAAAAATCTAAATGCAAATCATCTGCAAAAAAGCAAATCATGTTTTTACTATCTATTATACAAGGGAGTTCTGCTACTACAAGATAACTGAACAGTCAATTATCTGTTAAGCACCGCCCTTGTAATGCAAATAGCTCTGGAACCTCGTAAGGTATTCCACAGGCAAGGAGACCCTGAACAGGCGACCTGCGCCCTCCGGCTCACCCTCAGGACATATCTCAGTTAGGACACGTCTCAGGCTCCCACCTCTGACTGGGGATTAAAAATTCCTAGCCACTGACCTCAAAGTTGTGTCGTGGGGGAAAGGGAGGTGGCAGGGCTGCTAAAACCCATACCCCCAAACCAAGGGTGTTACTGTTCAGAAAGCAGCGGCTGGGCCCTACCCAAGGCAGTGATTTCAGTTCCTCAGCCCTAATCTCAGGGAGAGGCAGTGGCAGACCAGTGTCAAAAGTCCCGCTATCCCCCCGCCCACCCCCGAGCAATGCCCTCCATCCCAAGCTAACACCAAACCAGCCAGGGAATTCGTGGGGTGGGGTGGGACGTTGTGTGGCCTGGCATTGCAAAGACGAGGAGGGGAGGAGAGAAGGGGAGAGCAGGAGAAGGCAGCTCCCTGGGGCGATGGGCCCTGCCCCACCACTCTGCCTTAGGCTTCTCTGATGACACACACACCTAGGAGCTGAGCATTCACTGGGAGCTAGCTATGAGGACAGGGAGTCAGCCTCATGTGCTTAAAAACTATTTTTTTTTGAGATGAGGTCTTGCTCCATCACCTAAGCTGCTCTCAAACTCCTGGCCTCAAGTGATCCTCCTAACTTGGCCTCCCAAAGCACTAGGATTTACAAGCATAAGCTGCAGTACCTGGCCAAAAACAATTCTTTAAAAATATCAGGAAAAACTGAGAATCTGCTCCAGATTAAAGGAGACTTCAAACAAACTGGCCACTGGACATGTGATCTGGGGTGTTTCTCTCACAAAAGAGGTTGTGACGATGGTTAAAATTTGAGCAGGTCTAGGTTAGCAGGCATAATAATGCTGTGTCCACATTAACTTCCTGATTTTGGTCACTCCTTTGTGGTTATTGACATGATTTTAGAAAGTCTACATTCAGGTATTTAGTAGTAAAGGACGTTTGCTACTTACTTTCAAATGGTTCAAATACAAATTACAGAGAAAGAAAACGATAAAGCAAATGTAAAATATTAACATTTGGGTATCCGGATGAAGAGAATTCTTTGTACTATTCCTGCAACTTTTCTGAAGGTCTGAAATTATGGCAAAATAATATATATATATATATATATTTTTTTTTTTTAATATATGTATTTTTATTGTCCTTTAGGTTCTGGGGTACATGTGCAGATCATGCAGGATTATGGCACAGGTACACACATGGCAATGTGGTTTGCTGCCTCCACCCCCCTGTCCCCTATATCTGGGGTGACATATATATGGGGATAACATTTCTCCCCATGTTATCCCTCCCCAACCTCCCCACCCCCCAAAAATATTTTTTTTTTAAAGTGATGTTACTGGATGGTATCTACGGCTCTTCCAGTTTCTGTGAAAAGGTAACATTCCCCAAATCTTACAACGAGGAACAAGAAACAGGGTGAAGCATGCAGTCACTGACAAATGGCTGGTCAGAGGCAGGAGAGGCTCCAGAACTCAATTCTCTGACTTATCCCATCCCCCTCCACCAGCCCCCAGCTCATCTAACACTCAGGGACACTGAGCCTCAGACACTACCCTGGGTACCGGACAACTACTGTAGAGCAGAGGACAAGGAAGAAGTGGGCCCCCTGGATGGTCTCAGGGCTGGGCAGCAGCCTAAGAGGCAAGGCTGATAGGAGAGAGAGCCTGGGAACAGGGTCCACCCACTCTCCTCTCAAGACCCCTTCCCTTCACCCACAGAGGGCACAGACAGCCCCTGTCAGGTGCTCCCCAGAGGGCCAAGTCAAAGCTTCAGCAACACACATACACAAGTTCCAACCATCAACAAACAGGACCATGCAGAGCTCCGACTCACAGCCTGGTCTGCAAAGGAACAGAGCCCTAGGAAGGCAGCCTTCAAGCCCTCACTAACCCAAAGGAACACAACACCTGGAAATCCTAAGCAAGCCTCCTAAATAACTCCAGGATGAAGGAAAAAAAGTCACAACTACAGATCTGAAGATTAAGTAGTGTCTATTAGAAAAATTCATGTTTCCATAAATAATTTTACTAAATGAGAAAAAAATAATTAAGGCTTCAATCCAAGAAGCTAGAAAATAAATACAAAGAAAGGAAAAACTGAATCAGCAGGGATAAAGACAGATATAGTGGATTAGAAAACAAAATGTAGTGGTATTTATAAATGAATCCAAGAGATGACTCTCCCGAAAACCAATAAAACAAACAAACCTCCAACAACACTGGTTATTTTTAAAAGAAAAAAACAAATATTAGAAATGTAAAAGGAATAGGCAGGGTGCAGTGGCTCACGCCTGTAAGCCCAGCACTTTGGGAGGCCTAGGTGGGTGGATCACCTGAGGCAAGGAGAATGAGACCCAGTCTGGCAACATGGTAAAATCTGGTCTCTACTAAAAATACAAAAAATAGCCGGGTGTGGTTTTGGGGGTCTGTAATCCCAACTACTCAGGAGGCTGAGACAGGAGAATCGCCTGAACCCAGAAGGTGGAGGTTACAGTAAGCCGAGATTGCGCCACTGCACTCCAGCCTGGGCAACAAAGAGCGAAACTTCATCTCAAAAAAAAAAAAAAAAAAAAAGAGAACTATAAAAGGAATATAACAACTATCTGTGAAGTGCTTTACTAAAAACTTCGAAAATATGAATTAAAGTCCCTGTAGGGTATGAATTGGGCTGGGGGAAAAAAAGAAAGAAAGAAAATATGAATTAAACAACGATTTTCTAGGAAAACATTTTTCAAGAAGCAGTAGAAATACTGACAATATCTAGCTGGGCATGGTGGCGTGTGCCTGTAATCCCAGCTCTTCGGGAGGCTGAGGCAGGAGAATTGCCTGAACCCAGGAGGCGGAGGTTGCGGTGAGCCGAGATCGCGCCACTGCACTCCAAGCTGGGTAACAAGAGCGAAACTCCATCTCAAAAAAAGAAAGAAAGAAAGAAAGAAAGAAAGAAAGAAATACTGACAATATCAATCACCAGGGCCACTGGGAGCCACTGTCTTGAAGTCACCCAACCAGATGTCGCCAAACTAGGCACAGTCTCACGGTCTAAAGTCTCTAGATTAAAGCGCAGAAATCTGAGTTCCAAATTGCTCCTCAAAATCATAACTAAACTGGGCACTGTGGTTTACACCTATAGTCCCAGCACTTCGGGAGGCCAAGGCAGGAGAATCACTTGAGCCCAGAAGTTCAAGACCAGCTCAAGCAACACAGTGAGACCTCATCATTACAAAAAATAGAAAAATTAGCTAAGTGTGGTGGTGCACGCCTGTAGTCCCAGCTACTCAGGAGGCTGAGGCAGGAGGAGTGATAGGGCCCAGGAGGTAGAGGCTACAGTGAGCCACGATCACACCACTGCAATCCAGTCTAGGTGACACAGGAAGACCCTGTCTCAAAAAAAATAAAAAATAAAAATAAACCACAACTACATATCTGAAGACTGATTAGTATCAATGTTCATGAGGTACCTCTGATGATCACCCAGGTTTGGAAACTCCTGGCCCCTTGCTACTCAAAAATGTGGGCCAAGGAACAGCAGCATCAACATGACCGGAGAACATGCTTAGAAATACAGAATAAGGCCAGGCACAATGGCTTATGCCTGTAATCCCAGCACTCTGGGAGGCCAAGGCAGGCAGATCACTTGAGGTCAGGAGTTTGAGACCAGCCTGGTCAATTTGGTGAAACCCCACCTCCACAAAAAATACAAAAATTTAGCCAGGCATGGTGGTGGGTGCCTGTAGCCCCAGCTACTTGGGAGGCTGAGGCATGAGAATCGCTGAACCCAGGAGGTAGAGGTTGTGATAAGCTGAGATCACACCACATCACTGCACTCCAGCCTAGGGCAACAGATCGAGAGACTCTATCTTAAAAAAACAAAACAAAACAAAACAATAAAGCAGAATCTCAGGCCTCACCCCAGACCCACTGAATTTAAAAAGGCATTGTTGTAAGAATCCCAGGTTATCTGGATGAAGAAGATAAGTGGAGAAGCACTGGTTTGGCCTATACCTGCCTAATTGTCCTTTAGTTCCTCTTAATTTGCAAAAGCAATACCTGTTCTGTGTTCTGTCTGGCGCAGTCCAAAGAAAAAATAATAATAAACTGACTACTGGAGCTAAATGTGATCTCACAAGCATGTGGGAAAAAAAAGTTTGGCAAAATTAAAAAAAAAGAACATTAAAAGAAATTTGCAATACATGATAAAGAGTTAATACCTCTAATATATGAAGCTCTCTTACCATTCATAAAAAAAGTATACACAAAAAGTAGGTAAAGAAAATCAAAATATATTCACAAAGAAAAAAAGCACATCACAACTAAACACAGCAAGGAAAGATTTGCAAATCAAACATTTTGCACCCATTTTTATACCAATTAGAAAAGAAATAGTTTTTATAATAAACATGTATTATTTTGATAATCACGGAGGAAAAAAACCAAAGATATATAAAATTTTTAAAAAGGCATCCTAGAAAGACTGAAATAGTAACGAGAGTTCTACGTAGAAAAATTATGTACTTTTATATTTTTCTCTATCTGCTTATCTGAACTTTCTGATTTTTCTACAGTGAGTTTCCATTCTTTGTAACAGACAATGGCAAAAAAGTTTTAACTATTTCCTAGAGTTTGATCATATCTGAAAGGTCTTCCTGTGTTTTCACAAGCATTTGCATAGCATCTGGCCTTTTCACAAACCATCATGGCATTTAAAGGCATGTCTTTACAGTCCTGATCAAGTACTGGAAGCCCCAAACAGGCAGCCTCTTTTGTTACAGTAGTTCATAGGCCAGCAGTTCTCAAACTCCAGTGGGCGTGGGAATCACCTGTAGGAAGCTGGCAATGGATGCAGAATCCCAGGTCCCACCAGAGATCAACCCTGCCTGACCATGGAGGGCATTCTGACCCAGGTGGCCCCTGAACAACCTTTTGGGAACCCCTTCCCATAACCCTATGGGGCTGAGGGTGAGTGCAGACGAGGGAAAGGCCTCAGTTGGTTCAGAAACCAGGTGAACTAAGGTAGTCTCTTTCCACCTGGCCCACGTGCACATGCAGGCCTGGCCAGTCAGTGGTCAGTTCTGATGCTCTTTGAGAGGCCACAACGTGGATGGGGGAGGCAGTGTATAAACAGACTTCGTCCAACAGGTGAGCTGAAGCCCTCAGCAGCCCTGCATCACAGCAGCCTCACTGCCAGAATGCGCTCTGCTCTGGAAGGAGGCATCTGGAACAGCTCCATGGGTTCATGGAGGTCCATCTGTCAGAGTCTCTGCTCGGTACCCCAAGAAGGCAGCTCCTCCAGAGCTGGCAGAGATGCAGCTGTGGATGCAGCTGGGGCCTCTTGCAGCCTCAGGGCCACCTGACTGGAGACTTACAAGCCCCAGGTGGGCACTGGAAAATGAAGTAAGAAACCAACAGGAGGGGGTGGGGGCAAACAGAGCAATACTTCCACATCTTTTCCCCAATCCAGCATTTCTTGAGTGTACTCTTGGTTCCACTCTTTCCTGGGAATTAAAGCAAACCAGCAGAGGAGCCAGAAATCTTTCTATGTCCTCTCCCACCCCGAGTATGAAAGATGAGCGAGTGGGAAGGGGAGGGTGAGCACAGACCACGGGCTAAATGAGTAACAGCTCACCGCTGCCGTCAAGCAAAACCCAGGGAAACCCCAGGACACGCTGAACCAGATGCATAACTGCTACAGAGGCATTAGAAATCAGCTCATGTCCTCAATCCCACCTTCTTTTTATTCAGGTGGAGAGGCAGGAATCCTGACCCCTGCTTAACAACAGCAGGGATTCCCATCTCTCCAAGGACATAGTCCTCAAGCCTTTGAAGAGGTGGAAGTTCCCTTGTTCCTGGGTCCCACCAAGGCAGGTAGACATCATCACCATCCTGGCTCCAGGGGCAGCAGAGACCAGTGAGGGGTGGGGACCTGAGGGTCTGGAACCACTGCCAAGAGTGAATTGGCATGCCCCAGACAGCTCCATCAAGTAATAGTGCTCCCCAACTACAAACAAAGGCTGACATATAAAATGCAAACACCAAGAGGGCACTGTGGCTCATGCCTGTAATCTCAACAGTTGGGGAGGCCAAGACGGGCAGACCCAGAGGTCAAGACCAGCCTGGGCAATATGGCAAAACCCCATCTCTATAAACAATACAAATAGCTGGGTGTGGTGGTACAAACCTATAGTCCCAGCTACTAGGGAAGCTCAGGTGGGAGGATCACTTGAACCCAGAGGTGGAGATTGCAGTAAGCCAAGATCGCCACCACTGCACTCCATGCTGGGTAACAAAGCAAGGCTCTGTCTTAAGTGGAAAAAAAAAACAAATGCTACGATAAAGATTAGCACATGGATAGTAATAAACTTCATGTAGGACATATCGGGTTGAGGGGATGCATATACTATGGAGAACAGTAAAAGAAAAAAGGCACTACACTGGGCACATATAAGCTCTGCTTCCAGCCTTTATGAGTCCTCATCCCTTAAGGGAAGTTGCAGATAAGTTTGTGCTACCTTGGAATGACTGGGAACTAAGAAAGCAGTTCTCCCAACTAGTTAGCACTAATGAGGGTTAATGACAAGTGGGCTGTGGGTCTCAGGATAATAATGAGATACAGGCTCAGAGGGCTCCTCCCTGATGTCTGCATGTGGGAAAATGGCCCAGGACCTCCTTTTTCCTGTGGGGACAAGGCGGGTGCCCCATCTGTTATCCGGATCACAGCCTGCAGGCTTGGAGCCAGGGCTGCTTGAGATTCTGCTCCTCACGTTGGCCCAGGCTGTCACACTTTGAAGAGGTGAAGCTCACTGCCTCTCTCATCAATCTGATGCCATGGCATTTATTAAAAGGATTTACTGCATGCTAGGCTTTGTGCCAGGCACTGGGGACATGAAATGGAGTGAGATGAGCACCCCACCACTAGGAACTCACACCCAGACATACAGTATTGCCACAGAGGTACAGACAATGTACCACAAAGACTTGAGGGAGAAAGGGACAGCAGTGTCAGAGAAGGCAGCAGAGAGCAGCTGGATTTCTAATATGCCAGCAAAGATGCGATACAAAGTATAACAGAAAAGATCCCATTCCCAAAGCAAAACAGCAGCTACAGCACACCTAAGAAGAAACTTCACAAGAAATGTGTAAGAAGAAAACCTTCAAATGTTTCATTTATTTTGTTTGTTGGGTTTTTATTAGAGACAGAGTCTCCTTCTGTCGCCCAGACTGTAGTGCAGTGGCCACATCATAGCTCACTGCAGCCTCCAACTCGTCAGACAAAGCGATCCTCCCACACCTGCCTCCCAAGTAGCTGGGAGTATAGGCATGCATCACCACACCCAGCTAATTTTGTTTTATTTTTTGTAGAAACGAGGGGCGGCGGGGGTCTCACTATGTTATTCAGGCTGATCCCAAACTCCCGGCTTCAAGCAGTCCTCCCGCATCAGCCTCCAAAACCACTGGTGTTACAGGCATGAGCCACCAAACCTGGCCCTAAAACTCTGATGAACACACAAGACAGACTAGAATAAATGGAAAGATATACTTCCCTTTCTCCGGATAGGAAGACTCATTGTAAAGCTGTCTATTCTCCCTAAAATAACCTGTAAGTTTCATGTGATTCCAACTGAAAAATCCCAGTATTTTTCACAGAACATGACAAGTTGTTTATAAGCTTATTTGGAGAAAGAAATGCTTTTTTAAAAAAGGCAAGAAAAAGTATGTTTTAAACCAAATTGTTATATAAAAATGGTGGTAATTAAAGCAATGGAATACACAGACTCAACAAATAGTTAATGAAAGTGAAAGAGGCCTTAAAACACCCATGATTGTAAGAGTATTTATGAAATGTTTAAGGTAGAACTCATACACCACAAGGGAAGCTACAAAAATAAATAGATTGGGGATAATCAGCTTCCTATTTAGGGAAAGTTCAATCCCTATCTTATATCACATACAAAAATAAATCTCACCTTAGAAATATGAATATCTAAAATAAAACTTTAGTAAAAACAAGACAAAACACTGAATTCTGGTTGTATAAAAATCAAATTTTTATGACAGACACAATGAAAGACCAAATAGGCCAAAAATTTTTTTTCAAAATATAACAGAAGTTAGTATCAAAACCCTGATTATGATGAAAGCTATACTATGTTTTCTAATTTAAGAGGACAAAAGAGGGCTGGGTGTGGTGGCTCACACCTCTAATCCCAGCACTTTGGGAGGCCGAGGCAGGGGCGGATCGCCTGAGGTCGGGAGTTCAAGACCAGCCTGACCAACATCGAGAAACCCCGTCTCTACTAAAAACACAAAATTAGCAGGTCGTGGTGGTGCATGCCTGTAATCCTAGCTACTCAGGAAGGCTGAGAGAGAAGAATCGCTTGAACCCAGGAGGCAGAGGTTTCGGTGAGCTGAGATCACGCCATTGCACTCCAGCCTGGGCAACAACAGCAAAACTCCATCTCAAAAAAATAAAAATAAAAAGATGGCAAAAGAGGTATCATCTCATTCCAGTTAGGATGGCTGTTTAGAAAGACAAAAAATAAATGCTGGCGAGGATGTGGAGAAAGGGGAACTCTAATGACTGTTGGTGTAATGTAATGTAAATTAGTATAGCCATCATGACTAAAACTAGAACTACCATATGATCCAGCAATGTCACTTCTGGGTATACGTCCAAAAGAATTGAAATAGGTGTGTCAAAGAGATATCTGCACTCCCATGTCTACCGTGGCAGTACTGACGACGTCCAAGATATGGAATTGACCAAAGTTATCAGTCAATGGATAAAGAACAGGTGGTACACACACATAATGGAACACTAGACAGTGATTTTAAAAAAAAACACAAAGTAAAAGTACTGTCATTTGTGGCAACATGGATGAGCTTGGAGGATATGTTAAATCAAATAAGCCAGGCACAAAAAGATAAATACCACATGTTCTCAGTCATCTGTGGAAGCTAAAAGAAAGTTGATCTCATAGAAGCAGAGAGAAAAATAGTGGTTATCAGAGGTGGGGGAGGGGAGGAGTGCAGGGGAAATAGCCAAAGGTTGGTTAACACATTAAACAGTACAGCCAGATAGGAGGACTAAGTTCCGGGGTTCTATAGCACTACAGGGCAACTATAATTAACAATTTATTGTTTGGTTGTATGTGTATGGAGTGGAGTACAGTGGTGTGAACATAGCTCACTACAGCCTCAAACTTCCTAGAATCAAGCAATCCTCGCACCTCAGCCTCCCAAGTAACTGGGACTACAGGCACACAACACTGTGTGGGGCTAATTTTAAATTTTTTGCTATAGAGAGAGGGGTCTCACTATGTTGCATAGGCTGGACTTGAACTTCTGGCCTCAAGCAATTCTGCTGCCTCAGCTTCCCAAGTAGCTGGGATTACAGGAGTGTGCCACTGTGCTTGGCTTATTGTATATTTTCAAATAGCTAGAAGAATACATTTTGAATGTTTTCAACACACAAAAAAATTAATAAATGTTTACAGTAATATTGTCATTACCCTGATTTAATGATTATACATTGTACACATGCATTGAAATACACTGTAACCCACAGATATGTATAATTATGTGTCAATTAAAAATAATAGTAAAAGAAAAAAAAAAAGACGGGAGAACCTATACATTTTTGTTGGGTTTTTTTTTTTTTTGGGAGATGTAGTCTCACTCTGTCCTCCAGGCAGGAGTGCAATGGCGTGCCATCTGGGCTCACTGCAACCTTTGCCTCCCAGGTTCAAGTAATTCTCCTGCTTCAGTCTCCCAAGTAGCTGGAACTACAGGCATATACCACCATGCCTGGCTAATTTTTGTATTTTAATTAGAGAGAGCATTTCACCATGTTGGCCAGGCTGATCTTAAATTCTTCACCTCAAGTGATCCTCCTACCTCAGCCTCCTAAAGTGCTAGGATTACAGATGTGAGAGCCACTGTGCCTTGCCTACATTTTGGATAATGTTTATCATGATGCATGTAAGAATCATGTCACTCTTTTTTATTTACCCCTATCTAACAGCACAGTGTCTGGCACACATGAGTTAGTAAACACTCACTGAATTTTTTTTTTTTTTTTTTAAGAGACAGGGTCTTGCTCTGTAGCCCAGGCTGGAATGCAGTGGCCTGATCATAGCTCATTGTAGTCTCCAATTCCTGGGCTCAAGCAAGTTCATCTTTTGTAGAGATGGAGGTCTCACTATAATGCCCCCACTGGTCTTGAACTCTTGGCCTCAAGCAATTCTCCAACTTAGCCTACCAAAGCACTGGGACTATAAGAATGAGCCACCATGCCCAGTCTAAATTCTTTTAAAAGAAAAGAACACTGATAGGCCGGGCGCGGTGGCTCATGCCTGTAATCCCAGCACTTGGGAGGCCGAGACAGGTGGATCACGACGTCAAGATATCAAGACCATCCCGGCCAACATGGTGAAACCCCATCTCTACTAAAAATACAAAAATCAACTGGGTGTGGTGGCACGTGCCTATAGTCCCAGCTACTCAGGAGACTGAGGCAGGAGAATTGCTTGAACCGGGGAGGTGGATGTTGCAGTAGGCCAAGATTATGTCACTGCACTCCAGCCTGGCGCCTGGCGACAGAGCAAGACTCTTTCTTAAGAAAAAAAAGAACACTGAGAATATATCTTAATATACTGAGAACATATTAAGAACTTGGCCAGGCGCGGTGGCTCATGCCTGTAATCACAGCACTTTGGGAGACAGAGGGGAATGGATCACGAGGTCAGGATATCGAGACCATCCTGGCCAACACAGTGAAACCCCATCTCTACTAAAATACAAAAAAATTATCTGGGCGTGGTGGTGCGCACCTGTAGTCCCAGCTACTCAGGAGGCTGAGGCAGGGGAATCGCCTGAACCTGGGTGGCAGAAGATGCCAGGAACCAAGATTGTGCCACTACACTACAGCCTGGAGGACAGAGCAAGACTCCATCTCAAAAAAAAAAAAAAAAAAAAAGAATTTTTGTGGATCAATAAAAAGACAATCTAAGAGTAATATGGATGTAATATGTAATGGACATAACAGGTAATATACAGAATAAGTG